TTAGATTAGAAAATTTTAAAAACAACGAAATTAAATTAATATTTAACCTATCAAACATACATACATTCATATATATTTACATACATGCATATGTGTGGATATATGTATATTTGTATGTGCAAATATGTTTGTTAAATAACAAAGCAGCAAACAAATTTTAAAGATTCGATTTCATTTGAAAATTATATTATTATTCAATGAACATTTACATATACATACACATGTATGTATACATATAATACTTATACACATAATATTAAATAAAGATATTATACTTTAAATTTAATTTATAATTCGATTTGAAAAAAAAAATATTTTTTTTTTTTTATTAATAATGAACAAGATATATTTTTTTTTCAAATGAATTTTTAAATAAATTCGTGACATTTATAACGACCTTCAAGTAATAAAAAAAAAAAACTATAATTCTATATACTTATTAATAAATAAAAAAAAAATAGAAAAAAAAAACGTGATCAGAAAATTAATAGCTCACACTTTACGAGTAATTTACATAAAATTCTAATAACATAACATGAAACAAAAAACAGAAAAAAATGAAAGCAAAAGCGGAACATAAAAGATTTAGAGATGATTTGTTAAACAATTTTAGAAAAAAACATACAAACCTACATACATACAAAAGAATATTAGAGTGAAACATTTAACAATTTATTTTATATCTTAAATAATTGAAAAATTATGATGGAATATTAATTGCATAATAACAATAATATTTAATTATTTTATGTGTAATAATTACTGTTGTGTATAGTTATGTATGACAATGAGGTAGATATGAAAAATTTTATTTCATGTGCATATATGTATATATATAGAATAAGTAGGCAAATGTTAATAATTAGGCATATAAAATGCAAAATAAAAATTATGTTGAAAAATCTGGAACTGGCACTATCCTTTCTGCTATGATAATAAAAAAATTTTAAAATTCAAAATAAAATTGAATTTTTAATAGACTATAAAAATAGATTAATAGGTAATTGGTGAATTTATTTTAACTGTACCTTGATACAGAACTCCAGAAATAAATTGTAAAAGTTTTAAAATTTTGCATTGAATTCAATTGTACATTGAAGTAAAAACTAACCTAAAAATTTGAATATCAAAAATTTGACAATTTTTTTATAAAAAAAATATAAAGACATCTACCGGAATAAATTGTAATTATTGCATACTTCCTCTCAACTCTTCTCTCAAAAGATAAGATTTGTTTTTAATTTCGCTTCTATACGAGCTCTCAATCTAACATAAAAACAATTTTCTTTAATAATATTGTATGTATAACAAATACTTTTCATTTATATTTAACATTGTTCACAAAAATTCGTTCAACTAAATTCAATAAATTTTTAAAAATATTTTATATTCATACATAACTGAACATTGTGCTCCAATGTAATCTGGAATGAAACTATAAAAAACCTAGTCCATTTATTGAATTGTATAAACGAACCATTAAATTAACTATAAAATAATTTATTTTTATTGTAAAAAAAAAAAACATTTAATAACGATGTAAATTTAATAATACAAAATACATTCATATTTGCTCTTATAAAACCAATATTAAAACATTTATTTTAAAGCATCTCTTTATTTTTATTTTCGAATTTTAATATAATTTTAATATATGTATGTAGTATATAATTATGTACTAAGTACTATATGTATATATAAATACATAAATATAAAATTATGTATAGATGCGCAAGTATAATTAAAAATGAGAAAGTCAATACAATTAAAATAATCTGACATTATTTTTGACTTTATTCAAGTCATTGATGATAATAACAATAATAATTTTGATATTGATTGTGATGAGTGATTAAATTATTTGATGAGTGTGTTTGTGTATTCATGTGTAATTCTTATGTCACTTTTTAGCATCTTTCAAAAAACATATTTGAAAAAAAAAATGCTTATTAGTTTCACTCTGGCCGTAAAATTGTGTATTTTTATACAAGTATTGAAAAATTATTTTCGGAGAAGGAAATCTTTAATCTATTTGTCATACCTCCTTCTAAAAGTCATACCTCCTAAAAGTTGTAAAAATGCCATTTATTGACTATTTCTTGTGACGAAACCACAAACATGTATTGAATTTCGCAAACGCAGAAAAGTAGTGATTGGCTTCTTCTACCGCGGCACAGCATAGTTGTCTATTTGTGTCATACTTCAGGTGTCGTCTCTTTTCGAGGGTAAGATATAAAAGTCCATAATTTTACCAGCTTTCAAATAATAATTAATAGTTTATTTTATTACAAGAACATTTTTTTTTCACTTCCATCCCTTCTCAAGTTATCGCCCCTCGAATTTGGTAAAATTAGATGTAATTTAATAAAATGATAAATGCCATTCCAATAATTAATAATTTAATTATTAATCTTTACTCATGCAATTAAGCCTTAAATCAACCATCATGTTAACGCCTCTTTCAATTTTTTTTTGTCTCATCCTAAATATATGCAATAAAATTATATAATATGGTATATATGAATAAAAGCATTATTTTTAATTGTTGAAGGGAAAAGTGCTACTTTGAAAATGATTTGTTTGATCCAACATCATTTTTTTTTTTATCTCACTCATGTCAGGTTTTTCTACTTGTATTTTATCACATGTGTATAAACATGTTAAAGAAATCAACATTAAATATTAATAGGACAAGTAAAGAACATTCTTTAATATTTTTCATTTTTCTTTTTTATATTTATGAATGTAAGTATATTGAATTTTTATCAATAGAAAGACATTATAGATGATTGAAAGTAATTTTATGTTAACATTGAAAAAGCATTTTAAAGCAAAAACAAAAAAAAAATAGAAAGAATCTAATATATCAAAAAATAAAAAATTTATAAACTTCGAAAAGATAAAAAACTTACCGGATATAAAATTGTTTTTTAGTTGTTTTGGTTTTTTTTTGTTTTTTGGGTTAGTTTTGCCATTTTAATGAAAGTAAAAGTTTTATATCAAATTATTCTATATGAACATATATATATATATACATATACGTATATTTAACACACACATAAATATTTAAATTTAAGTTTTTTGCATGAAATTTAATATGTATGAAGTATGAAAAATAAAATAAAAAAAAATTATCTCGTATTTTGAAATATGTAAGTGTGTATATGTTTGTATGAATGTGTGCACAGTTGTTCATCTAGCACTTTATAGTTTAAAATGGGTGAACTCAAATTTTAAGGCCGACCTAAATAAATTATGCTTCTGAATAATATTCATTATTATTATGTTGATATTATTTTTTGTATGATTGTATAAACAAAGTCCTAATTTTTATAAGCAAAACAATTTTAAATGAAGCTAGTCTCGTTCAATGAAGTCCTACACCCATTATTATTAGTATTAAAATTATTTAATTTTATACATGATTAGATATTAATATTTACACCCACCAGAACATTAATTATATTTAAACTATGACATCACATTATAACTAATGGCATCACAGTATAACAAAAATTTTCAAATGTTTGACTTCGAAAAATTTAAATTGGCAACACTGTTATCCGAAAATATGTTAATATACTAATATAGTATGAATACGGTTTTCTATAAAATTTTAATAGAGCACGAAAGCATGTTATTCCTTTATATGCAGCGTATATAACGACTGTGTATATAACGAATTGAATAATTTTGTCTTAAAAGCATTAGAGCTATGAAAAATCAAAATAGATAAATTAGATAACTTTATGTGTAAGTATAATAAAATCAAATTAATACTTCTTTTTATATAAGTAAAATGTGTGTTTATGTGTATAACAATTATTTATTATATTATTTTTACAACAATCAGTAATCGGTTACTTGTGATATATGCAATAATGATTATAATCATTTATATACTGGACATAGTATGCACATACATACGTATGTAATTAGTAATAAAATTTATTATAAACTTTTATATTATTCACTAGCATTATGTACATATGTATGTACATATATGTATTTAAAAATATTTTTGAAAGAAAACATCAATATTATATGCAATTCATTTAAATTTTTTCCTCCATAAGTGCCTATGATGGACGTTTTTTTATTTTAGAGAAATAGTTGATATGCTGTATAACCTAAAAATTTGTTACTTAATAACATTTTATTTTTGAAACATCCTATAAAATGTTAACATTTATATGAATACACAAATGTATATTTATATACACATTTATGTATAAATGTTGTATAAATAAAAATACCTTTTGTTAAATTAAAATAAATTTTTTTTTATCTCTAAAACTTCATTCAATAATAATACATACATAAGTATGTATATATGTATGTACATACTATAAGTTAAATGTATGTATGACACCAGTTTATTTCATAACACATCACTATAAAAAAATTTTTGCGAGAATTCCGATAAAAACAACACGAAAATATTATAAAACGAAATAAAAAAAAGAAAGAGAATCGTTATTTGAAATTGAAATTTAACATTTTAACAAAAAGAAAAAAACAAAATTAGGAGATATGAGAAGTTGGATCAGAAAACACTGAGATATTCACAGAACAATATTGCGGTTTGAACTCACATAAAATATTTAAAATTGTAATATGGAGTTATTTTAGTATATGTATTTGGATCTCTTCCCTATAGAATAGAACTTTACAGTCTAATGGTGTACCTTGCTGTTTCAGTTTCGCTTCTTTTCGCTTTCAGTTTTTAAAATAAAAATGTACCTAGGTATGTCAGTTTCCAATAAGATAAACGATTTTTTCGATTGGATTTTCCCTTTGTTTCTCATACATATATTGACTGAATAACAGAACTTAATTATTGACTGAACTTGTCTCCATCAAAAAAAAAATCGTTTTGTGTCATTTACGTACATTTTGAACAAAATGTTTGTCACTCAAAAATTACATTAAGCGAATATGATACTCTTTTACTTATTTATTTGTCACTTGGCGAATACAAGAAGACAAAATTTCAATGTTGACAAAATACCAAATAAACAAATAAAATTAAATCAAGTAGAAGATAAATGACCTATTCCAAGGCCCTTAAATTACTCTATGCTTAATTTGTTAGTATTCAAGTTGACTTATAGTATGACATTTTAATATTAGCACATGAGTAACTACAACCATTCATTTTTCTATTTGTTTTTAAGTGTGTGCGATTTCTAACACATTGGAAAATTAAATGGGAATGAATGATTTCAAGCACAATGGAAAGTTTCAAACTAAATTCAAAATTCATAACAATTTTTCAAATATTAATTTTAAATTCACATAAAGATCGCAACAACTCAATAAGGTTATTGTTTTTTTTTTTTACTATTTTAGAGTTTCTGCTGTTTTTAGTTTCTTTTTCTTTCTTTCTAAATAATTTTTGTATTTTCCCATTCGCATCTTCGCTTTAAAAACTCTACAAAAGCTTAACTTTTTTTTTCCTTTATTTTATTGCTATTTTTTGTTATGTATGTATGTATGTATATATATAAAATTATACTGAGTTCAGTATAATATTGATGATCTTAGTTTTTGGTTTTAACTTTTGATAGTCAAAAATCAAAATAAAAGAAGAAAAACCTTAAAAAAAAACCCATAAAAATAAAACTTAAAAGAGATTTGCCTAAGCGAAGAAGAAGCATTGAAAAGTAAAATGAAAAATACAACAAAAAACAAAAACAAGAAAAACAAAAAACTAAAAAAGTAAAAAACAAAAAAAAAAAAACACAAAAATTATAACCAACTTTTTCATTAATTCACCACACAACACTTTGACAGTTTAATCGCGGACAGTGAGTGCGCGCGCATCTCTCATTTAATTTTTCTGTTATTTTATTTTTCACGTTTTTAACAATCGTTTACTCGTTAGCCATTATCGTAATTTGTCGTTGTCGTCATCATTTTTTTAATGTTAAAATTGAAATAAAAATCATTGTGTTATTTTGTTTTTTCTGTTAATTTTTTTTTTTTATTTTTTTAAATAAACATTTTTATACATACATTACGAGTACATATTTCACATTTTCCAATAGAGAACAATTATCAACATTTTAATCGTAATAGAAATATATTGCAATTTTATTTATTTATTTCGTTTTTTTTTATTTTTGTTTTTATTAAAAATTATTGTGTGTTTTTTAAGAAAATATTATGTGTAGAATTTGACAAGTGATATGTCAAATATTTAAATGTCAGTGATTATTTTAAATTTTTAATTTTATTGTGTTATTCTTGTAATTTTACCGTTATAATTTAATAAATGGAGTGATAATATTGTTTAATAATAAAATAAATAAAATATTTTTTCATAACAATTAATAAATACAATAAAATTATGCAAATTTATTAATTAATATAATTGCGTTAAAGTTAATAATTCATAATAGAAAATAATTTGAAAATTAAAATTAATTAAATTATTTGCTCAAATTTTGCAATTACGTTCAAAACAAATTGAAATTCTTATTAGAAATAACGAATTAACATAATATACATACGTATATTTGTATATATATGTATATATTTTCAAATTTACTACAAAATTCTATGATTTTCAATTTAATTTTATTCTCTTTATAATTACAAATATTTCCAGTTTTTTGATTCTCTATAAATAATATACTTAATTTAAATAATATTAATTTAATTTAATTGTATACCAGTTGAAATTGCGTATTTTAGTTAATAATTTTAAGTAAATTTAAAAAAATAATAAATTTTAATTTGCGTGTATTGATATTCAACACCGCCGTCAATTCAACACAAAAAAAAAATGGAGTTGCTATGAATAATACACAGAATGACATACAGAATTTTTTATTATTTTTCGCGCTACTTAAAGACAATCTATAACTTATTATTAATACAATTTACGTTTTATGGAATAAAGGATTAAATTTAATTTTCAATTTAATAATATATTGAAGTAAATCCAATCCAATATTTGAAGAAAAATTGAAAGTTCAATTTTAATAATATAATATTAATAATATTTTTAAAATAATGATAAACTAATGATGATGTCTGTGAGCCGAAAATAAAAAAAAAAAAAAAAAAATACAAATATAATCTCAGACATTTAAATGTTATTTTGTAATCAATTTGAAATTTACGAATGATGGTAACAAAATAATAATTTGAAATAAATATATATACATATATATATATATATATACAAAATATACATACATATATATTTGTTCATACATATTATATGTATAAACATTTTATTTTGTTAATGAGAAGCTTGTTTTAAAAATATACATACACTTCATTTTTAAAATTCAATACGCATATAATTATTTTATATAATATTATGTATCTATATCAGTATAAATATACATATATATATATATATATATTAATACCTATATACATATATATACTTACCATTAATAATATAATCTATCTATGAATAAATTTTAAATTTATAATTAAAAAAAAAAAATTTAATCACTGGTTCGTTTAGTGTTTGATTATTACTTTATTTTTTTGTTTTGTTTTTTTTTCCATTAAAATGAGGTTATGTTCATACAATCGTATAAACCAATTTTGATAGCATAACATTGTATAACACATAATACATATATATAACAATAACTGTGTAGTATTTGAAAAAAAAAAAAGAAACGAAAAAGAAAATATAAAACAAACTGAAATGAAAATGAGACAAAAACAATCACTTAATTCTTTCATAATTATCACACCAAACGAGTATTTTTTCACCATTCTTTAAAGCTACGCTTATTAATGAGAGTTAAAAAAAGTAAATATGTATAACTAAGCTTGTTTTTAAAAGCAGGAAATTTAAAAACTTTAAAATTATTGTTTTTTGGGTAGTTCTTTGATTTATTCAATTCTTTTCTTAGCATTGAAAATTTTATAATAATTCAAGTTTTTGTTATTTTTTTCTAATTTATTTTTACTACTTATCTTTTGTATTCATATTGTGTTCTCAGTCTATCTTTAAAATTTTAATATATTCCTTTGAAATTTTTGTACATTACACATACAAAGTACATTTAATGTCAGTAATAAATTTCATTTTAAACCCAATAAACAACCAATAGATCTTTTTTTTTGCCTTAATTATACTGGTTTTTTTTTATTTTAAGTAGGTTTTAATTAGTAAGACACTTTAAAAAAAATAAATAAATTACTTTAGTTCTGTTTAATATTAATAAAAATATTTCATTATGAATTCTATTTTTAATTATTTTTAACAATACAATAAATTGTTCTTTTTCGAAAAACAGAGAAAAGAAAAAATTATGATATTTTTCTTTTCTCTTTCTAGTTAACTCATAAGTTTTTGTTTTGTAATTGGGAATTAAATTTCAAAAGATCATGCTAGAATTAACTGAAACTGAAATTTTTTCTGTTTGTTTTATTTTCGTTTTTTTACGGAAAAAATTAATTACTTTCAGTTGTGACTTTAATAACATTGGCAATGACCTCAATTTTGTTTTGTTTTAGTGAACATAACCTCAAAATATGATCAAAACTTTTTTTTATACTTATGCAAAAAAAATAATGTAAAAGAAGTCAATGATTGGAAAATTTTTTTTTTACATGTTATTGTTTATATACATAATGCATATATACATCAAAAATATAATATAAAAATTATAATATAAATAAAATATTTTAAAATTTAAATAAAATTCTCTGAATTATATTTTTATACAATAATTAGTTGTATATGTTTTATATAATTAATCTCTCATGTATAAATTTGTTATTTTCTATTTCGTTGAAATGATCTGTCAAATTCTGTTAGACCGTATTATTTTGACAAGCTCCATTTAATATCTGAAAATTTTGCTCTTATTTTGCTATTTTCAGTATTCCAACACTTAATTCACGGCATGATTTAGCATGAAAACTGTCAAAATAATGTCAATTTAAATTTACAATGAATTTTATTCAAAGTAATGAACAAAATATGTAAAATCTTTCCTAAATATAATTTTTGAATATTATTTGTTACAATTAAAATTTACAAAATACTTTTAATTTATTACAAAAAATCACAAATATTTTTGATATTTTTAAATCACCCAGTAAATTTATCAAAATTAATTTAAACATAATTTAATTAACAATATTAATTTTTCTAAAAAATTCATACGTGTAGATTCATACACTTTTATAAATATACACGTACGTGTGTACTTACATATCCTAAATTACAGTATATATACACAAATCATAAACCATAATTTTATCTTTCAATTTCAAATAACAAAAATAAAAAATATATTATTTAAACATTAAATATTGTGGGAAATGAATGTGGGAGAGAAATAGTAAAATATACTATTAACTTATTCCCATAATTATTAATAAAGAGAAATAAAGTTATAATAATAATATTTGTATTAAAACAACAATAATAATAATGAATACTTTGTATTAATTTAAGTACAATTGTGCTTATCTGACAGTTTATAGTTACTCATTTAATGTCATTTTATTGTGTTTTAGTTTTCAAAATGCAATCATACTTTTTATAAATTTTAATTTTAAATTTAAATTTTTCTCTTTTGATCTGTTAAATTACTTTTTGTTTTTGTATTTATCATTTATTTTATTTTTTTTTACTTTTAAAAAGCTTTTTAATGTAGAATATCGAATACTCTAGTGAAACAGAAAAAGACAACTCATACTCACTTTTACCCTCACTTTACTTACTTACGTGTATTACATTTGCTATATAAAAATTTTATGAATGTTTATACTCACAGGTGTAAAATTTCTGTTCATATTTAATTTGTATTCGTGTATATACATATTTATACATACATATGTATATTTAAAGCTAATATATCTGTGTTTTAAAGTTGTTTTTTTTTTATTTCTAAGTAATCAAGTAAATTTTTTTTTATCGTTAAAATTTAAGCTTTTATAGTGTTGGGCAAAATTCATTCTTAGTTACGTTCTAATATTTATTCAAACCTGATCAGATATTAACTATGATAATTTAAAGTTCTAAATAATAATAATAATAAGACGAATATAAATCCACAAAAGAAATAAGAAGAAAAGAAACAATAAACATTTTTTTTTTTTATAAAAGGGGCAAAAAAAAGAAAAGACAAATCGGCAATCGCAAAAAAAAACGTGTTTTATTCAAGAACATTAATTTAATAGTTTGTAAAAAAAGAACAATAATTTGCGGTGTATATATGAATGATATTCATTAATATGTGATAATATATAACAATATTATAAAGTATAACATACATACATACATACTTAATATCCATATATGTATAAATGATGCTTATACATATTGATACTAGA